AGACACTTTAAAATATTCATTGTTTTATGCTGATGTCAAATGACAAATTTCAGACATTTTAGTAGAAGCACATATGTTATGATCATTTCTGGGGAATGGGAGGTTTTTATTGAAGATGAACGCGTGATGTTCAGGCATGGTGAATTGCTCTACATACCGAAAAACTTTAAAATGCAGAAATCTTACACAAAAGGAAAATTTCTAGCTATTGTCATAACTTGGGATCAATTCAAGCAAGGGGAAAATGAAACGACTATAAACTGCAACCCTGTAACGCTACAAAGCGCTCAAGTTAAACGTGGTTGGAGTAGAAATACGTCGATTTCAGCACAAGCAAATAGCACAAAGTTGAATACTGGATATACCATTCCTCCGATAGGTCTTGGGACATATAAACTTGGACCAAAAACTTACGACACTATTGGGCGCGCGTTACGCATTGGCTATAGAATGATTGATGCTTCGAAAGATTACTTTGCAGCCCATGATCAAGATGATTCAGTAGTACGAGAAATTGCCAAGGCTATTGAAGAGAGCAAACTCTAGAGAAGACATTTTTCTTTCAAAAAGTATTATTCTGAGTACAACTAGCGAAGAAATCGATGAATTGATTCAAGATTCGTTGAACAATCTGCAGTCATCTTATATGGACTTACTGATGATTGAACTTCCGTTTCGCGATCATGAAGACAATATCCCTTTGCCAGAAAGTCTCTGGAAGGTTTGGCATCACTTGAAAAAATTTCAGAAATCGGCGTAATTCGCAGCTTAGGAATACGCAATGTAAAAGATCACAACGAACTTTCTTCAATACTCGCTGTGACTGGAAAATCCTTATCGGTTGTACAGAATTGGTTTGACCTGTTTCGCCAAGATAATAAAGTGAGGCAGGAATGTAGAAAGAACAATATAACCTATATGGGATACGGTATTATGGGATTCAGAAGAATGATCTTAGAGGATGTAAGTTTAAATATTTAACACCACTTTAAGGAGAAATGAATTGGCTATTCAAGTGGATATGTAATTATCCGCTAAAGTCTGGCTCTGGTAAGTTTAATCTGCATCACACTTTTGTGAGACACATTAAAATCGTCATAGTTAATTTAGTTTGCATATTTTGATTTTGTCACCGAACGCAAATTCCTCATTTGACGAGCTATATAAGCCGACGCAATTGTTTGAAATCTACGAAACCTAACTCTGTGATTCAAGTTTTGCATTAAGTTATTGTTCCTATTTCAAACAAAATATTAAATTGTTTTTAGACATCGGTGAACAGAATTATAGAAAACCCAGTTGTGACGCAGTTAGCTCTTAGGCGAGACATTCCACGTGGTTCGTTACTTCTTCGATGGGCTATGGAAAGAGGAGTCGTAGTCACACCGTCCAGTAGTGATGAATATCATTTAGAAAGCAACTTCTATAGCAGGCAACTCGGAATAAGAGAGGATTCTTATATTGAACTTGATAACATAGAGAAAACGGCAGAAAGTGAAATGAACGAAGAAGACGAAACCGCTCTAACGGTAGAAGTGGAAAACATAAACCCAAAAGAGGAATTGTAGACTAGACACGAATCACAGATTTAAAAATTACTGTCCCAATATAACTTCTTTGTCAGCTGAGCAAAACGATATCTTACAAGAATGCAATATATCTTTGAGATCTCAATAATATTTTATTGAGATTGCATAAATATATTTCATCAAATCTATAGAAATCTGCAATTTACTTTATTAGTGTTATTGTGTGTATCAGAATGGTTTAAAGAAATAGATTAAAAGAATGAATAAAGTTTCTGATTTTTCGTTCAAAAATCTGTTTTTCCATATTCAACGACTTTACGTGTGACAGATTTAGAAGGTTTTATCTTTAAATTGTGTTCAATTGGAATGTTATGCTATGATTAACAAAGAACCCTTCGCGAACCTATAGTTGCATACGATGCATTGTAAAAAAACGTGCCTCACCTCATGAAAGCCCATAAAGGCCCAAAAATTTCCAGCAAATATGTGTAATCCCCTCCTGATTTGGGTATAAGTATTCCGAGCTCAGCAAAACAGAGCGCCCCTATGGTCGAAAATAATCCACACATTGTCCAGATAATTAAAGCTTCGCCAACCGATCCACTGTTTTGAACGACACCTTTACATATATATACAAAAACTCGTAAATTTTCCACCGCGTTTTTTCTGGCGTCCAGTAATGATCGGAATGTATTTCAGCGAATAACTAAGATTGAATTCACTAGAAATCTTCAAGTGGCACGAAACAGACTACTATTTACCTCATCCATAGTTTGAACAATTATACTCTGGTATTGTATTTATATTATAGCAAATAATATCGTCCTACCCGCTGGAGATATAAAAATCCCGGATCCGACGATAATCCCAAGCACAATGCTTATAGCTCCAGGTATTCCCAGTGTTCTTCTGAGTTTCACTTTGTCTTCATCATTTAATAAATTTCTGATAGAGCATAAAAACATATACATCAAGATAAATGGTCAGACTTCGCCATAAGATAATTTTAATTAACTAATGTATTCAAGTTGAATAATGACGACTAGGTATATATATTATAACTGTCTGAATCGACCGATACTCTGCATCAATTACAATTTTGACATCGCCCCAATTCGGGAAATCAACGAAAGTTTAGTCAAGGAAATATAATCATTGCTTACATTTCTTCGGTTATTCACGGATTACTTTTTGGATCTGGAGTCTTATTTGTGACTCCCACGTCATCCGCTTCTACATTGCCTAAATATTCGACATTGGCAGGCGTTTCAGCAAAGGTTCAATGTCTTCAAATTCATCGTGGTATGTAACTGTTTTCCAATCAGACATTTGAAAATATTTTGAACTACACCTAAATCTCAAATTTCTAAACAAATAACCAGTTTAACACTTATATTGATTTGGCAAATTTTAAAATTACCCGCCAGTATAGTAGATGACACCTTACAGATTAAAAAAACCTGGATTTCCAGGACCATGGCCAATAGTAGATCAGAGAGTTTCTGAAACTATCATACCCGCAATAAACCAATGCAACCATCGTCGTTTGGCTGCGGTGGAGGGTTACCTGCTAGTGTGACATCAACACATTTTCTCAATCAAATACTGATTTATTTGTTTGTCAACAATCAATTACGATTTGATTGACAGTTTCATTTAGTAGTCGTAGAATGTAGACAGCGTAAATATCACATGTCATCTAAAATTGCGCGATTGAGCCATCAAGAATTTTTTCTCTTTTTACTCTTTTAGGCCTCTACTTAGTTTTTGATATTTTTTCATGTAAGAAGAGTTATGGGGTGATTTTGTTTTTCAGAGAGAAACCATTTTATTGTATTGTATTTCTTCAATCCGTTACATACAAAAAACTTTTTATGTGGCTAGTATTTCGGTATCTTCATTTTCACGTTATTAAACTGGAGACATCTCTAGATATCTAGGGTCAAACATTAAAGTAGAATTGGAACATTAATGTTTAAGTGTTTTGTTAAGAGTGCCCGTGATTTTGTCAGAAATTTGGGAAAGTTGACTGATATGCACCCGTACCACAATGACTCGTTCCGGAAACCGTCAACAAGAGCTGAGAGGAAAATCTTACAGTTGATTACAAATTGTTTCCTTGTTCACCCAACCAACTTCTCAGTCAAGTGTGATTTCCCATATTTCACAAACCATATTTCGCCTGCAAACTACGCATGCTCGCCACGTCCCTTGGCCATCGTATTTTAACCATACTACAGATATATCTATCCACTATAGGGCGCTACAGATTCATCATTTTAAAGAAACAATATTTGTTTCAACGGCAGTTATTGCAGTTAAATTATAAGTAAATGAATATAAAAAAAAATATAGAGTAAACAAAGAGCTGTGCTCAAGTATGTCGACACGGAGGGCAAATCTAACTATTTTATCGTCAATTTCCCGAATATCATATGCGATAACGTACCAGTAGCCGTATCGGGACAACTCGACTATACACGGAAGAACCATCACAGGTAACGGTACAGGGACTGTCATAGCTTTGCCAGGTTCTGTGACGATGATCCATTCTTCATGATTCGGTTTCGCCGTGAATTAAAATACCAACTGATTTGAGTCACTTCCGTATTACCAGATCAGGCACCGCAGTCTAAACTTCCCACATTCACTAAGCACGAGATCCGCCGACGTTCGCTGAGCAGGAGATTCGTCGATATGCGTTCGCAGAACCGCCACGAGGTGCGCAAATTTCAATGACCACTCCGTGTCCAATAAACAAGGCTAAACCGTGAAAGAGAAGACGTTTGAAGCATCCCTGCATGATAATTCAATGGTTTACCAACGTAGATCGTGAATGTTTAATTTAATCGAACACGATCAGCTAGTGTCTGTATTCTCGCCAAACGTCTTGGAGTATAAAAATTTGTATATCGACACTTGTGCCATTTTTATATATATATAATAATAATAATATAGTTTCCGTTCACCACTTTGTCACAATGATTGCACGAACTGCAACCGATCTCAATTGCTCAGTCGAATAAAAGTTTGATCAAGTGTTTCTCATACTTGATGTAGAGTGAACTTGGAAAAAAATATTTTGAGATTTAATTAGAGAAGCTAGTGGTGATTTTCACACTGGGAAAGTGCGTTACATGTTCATGTTGATCATGCTTTATGCTAAACTATTATTGAAATGTTCTGTCATGCTGTGGATTGGAAAAGTCCTAGAGGTTGCAGAAGGACAAAATTGCTCCAATACAACTGATCGATGTTTTTATAACAACCACACATTCATTTCTGAAGCATGGAATTATCAATCGTAGGTTAATTGATTTATTATTAAATATGACGTGATCCGTCAAATAGAACGGAAATGGAAAATAATTTTTATTGCCACCATAACATCCGGCGGGCATTATCATTAGCTTTTCAATTCTCTGTAACATGTTCTGATTTATAACTGAGCAAAGACTGGAAACAACAGATCAGTTTTTAATAACGTAAAAAACGTCATTTACCGATAACGACACAACTTGCAATTTTGTTGAGAAATTACGTATGTCTAGCACTGCATGTTGTTTTGGTACATCAACAACGACAATGAAATACTATTAATTTTAAGCAGTTTTATGAATTTCTGCTTCAAAATAAACATATGAAGTCCTATTGTTTGTAGAATTTCAAACAACAAAACTTTTTCAAGTTAATGCCCAGCATGTTTACAGCATTATTGTGAGGAAATTCCGTTTGGAGTGTTTTATCTTATGTTGAAAAAATATTCAATTAGCTAACTTGAATAAACACAATACATTTTGGAAGCTATTAAACGGTAAAATTTATAATATATTTGGTTATCTTATTTGAAAAACTAGTCTATCTGTAATACAATGCTATAAACGGTTTATTTTTTATCCGAAGGTGAGGTTAGGTACTATTGTGCTCGTTTTTCTCGTTCCATTGCCAAATGTACGAAAGAAAAATGCCATAGAAAGTATAGAAACTGAAAAAAAATATCGGTTATATGAAAATAGAGTTGTCGTTTTTTTGTGGCAAAATGTATTTAATTATCTTAATGCACGTGGCGCAAAGGGCGCGACCGTTGTATTCTCGGCACTCCGCCATAAATGAGCCGTGATATTCGCAGGACGACGAGTTGCCCCGGGCTAATACAGACTGATGGATGAAGATAGCTGTGACAGGGTAGCGGAATCGATGAAGAGAAAATTTAATTGTTCCGCTGTCAAATCGGGATGCCATACTGGCCTTAGAATAATATATACAAAAAACAGCAAAGCTGACTGTAAATATGCTGATAAATCTTGTTTTACTGTTATAAATGCTGTGTGTACGCTTTATGCGTAATACAATAATCATACGCAAAGACATAATAAATCGAATCACTTTTTCTTTGAAATTGTCATTTCATGTTACTCATAAATAATTTTAGCATATATTCCAGGAAATATTTGAGATTAAGGCCACATTAGAATTGAAGTTATTTACGTATGGAATTCGTGGTCATGACTCATGAATAATAGCCTGTGTTTTTGCCTGTATTTCTCTTAGACTCGATGATGCTTTCAAGATGAATTGAAGCACTTCAATGCGACCTTTCATCCATTCTCGTTTCCAACGATGTTGCATAATAGTTTACATTTTGTCGCACTTTGTTTATCAATATGTCGTCTATTCAAAATAAATAAAAGGCTGTGTTAAAAGTGTGATATTACCTGGTTAGGTTTTTTTAAGTTCATCATTTTTGTTTATTTGTTTGGAACAAAAGTGGAGACAAAATAAACCCGATTTGTGATGTTTTGCCTGTCATTTGAAAAAGAGATTTCAATTTGAAAAATAAACACTCTGTGACACTATTGTAAATAATATGTGAGTTCTTAACCGTTGATTATTTTGGTTACATCATAACAGGAACAAAATGAGTGTAGGTTTAGCTTTTTGTTTACATGTAGCTTTGTTTCTGGCCTGCTCAAACAAACCACAGTTAGTTAATTTTGTTTGCATGTTCAAATGAATCTCTATGTTACACATATATAAATAAACAAGTTAGAACTAATTATAGGCAGCACTACACAAACAAATGTATAAACTTTCTTTGCGTAATGAAACCGTCCCAATGAATCCCAATGTTTCCGTAGCCCTATCAGCAAACTTTTTTAGTTAGCACGAATAGCATCTTAGCATTTAGGGGTGTTATTTTTTTTT